GCTGCGGCTCTGTCTCACGCCTCGTCCCGGCTGTGTAGCACCTGCCACTGCCCCAGCCCCACTCCCTCCCTCACCACTGGGACCTCGATCTGCCCCCCCGCCATACCCCTTCCCTCACAACAGACTTACCAGGTGGACCTGACTGCTCTCCACGCTTCTGGGCTGCACTGTTGGACACCTGCGTGCTGTGCTGCAACTGTGCGCATTCATGGGGCATTTATTGGCCACATTATCGGCCACATCAGTCAAAAAAAATCCGATTGCCAATACGGTCAATTTTCCTTATATCGGTGCCGATCCAACATGGGACCGATGTATCAGTGCACCTCTAGTTATAATGCTCCCTGACGGCTCCTTGGAACCCTTTTTATGCTTATATACATTCTGTCACGATTCATGTGTTAGAGTTTTATCAGTTTTTCAATGCTGGGGAATTTTTAAAGAAAATATGCTGGTGGGAGCACAGCCACCTTGTAGTGAGTAGCAGCTCATGGGGAAAAAAGCCTGCCAAGGTCGCTGAAATGCAGGTCTCTGAACGGCACAGAAAGTGTCATCCTAGCTCTAATAACATGGCTGTTGTTTTCATCTTATCACAGATTTGGCACTGTTACACTACGTTTGAAAAACAAGACTTAAAGGTGAACAGGGCTGCCAGTGTTTTAGTGTATGAAGCAAAAACAGTATGTTCAGAAAACCCTGCCATGCGCCAGACTAACCCCAAATTTGACATGAATGCCAGTATAAAAACACAGGAAGGTAATCACTGTGGCATGTTGAGATCTTTGGAGACCTTTGGCTTCTCTACAGGAAAATTTGTGGAGGAACATATTTTGCAGATTATAAGCTAAAGCACAGCCGTACCTCTGACACATCAGAGACTATTCTTCACGGATCAGAATGCTGCCCTGAGCCTTTGTTGGAAAGTGTAGCTTATAAATTAAATGACTACATAAGTAAATAAAAGTGCACCTGCTTTCTTTATAGTTTAGCAAGCCGTGGCTAATTCTTATATTATTCCTCCTGCAATTTTCAAGCTATGTGTTTGCTTCTGAAAATAAATTTCTAACCACCTCTCCTATGTTGGCAGATTTTTTTTCATATCAAAGATAACTAGTCTATACCTTGATATGCTCCCAGCTAACTGGACAAATTAACAAACATAATTTGTGCCATCACGTCAGTGAAATGAGTCCCTTCTGGAAGGGCCTATA